TTCTGTCATTTGGTCTATCATATTTTTTTCTGAATTTGGACAGTCATATTATTCACACTAATTCACGATATCATATGATTTACATAGCTTGCAATATCGTGTTATTTCAACCATCCACACTATCGCATTATTAGCACGGTTGCATGAACTTTATTATATGCACTATTATTATATGCACTATTTATTATATGCACTTTATTATAAGCACTATTAATATATGCACTATTATTATATGCACTATTTATTATATGCACTATTATGCATTACATTTCCCCCCTGATACTTAACCATTAGCAAGACCAGAAATGCTAGAAAGTGATAGCCATATTCCTGCTCTTCCCTTGTTAGGCTTCACGACCAAAAATTGAACTATCGTGACACACATATATAATTCGCATGGCTGGGAGATATCAGAGGGTAAAATTTAAAAAAATGGATGTGTCTATTGTTTGTGTTTCTTTGAGGTTTAAGGTAAGAGAGGTTTTATGGATTTTTCGTGTGATTTTAGAGTACTGAGTTGCGGTCTCCACGGAAAAGTGGTTATCATTACTTATGCCATTGTGACCTATAAGATGGCAAAACTGTGGGGGAAAACTTACTAGTATTGAAGTTAGATTCTACATGGCGCCGAGAGATACCTATGCTTACAACACGTGTAATATTAACTCTCTTCATGTTGGTGCAAAAGGTATACATATATTCATTCGATTTAAGTGAGGGCTTTGATTTGAAGAAAATATAACACCGATACGGACGCAAATTTGAAAAAAAGGCTTTGGATGCCTAAACATACAAGGCACGTCGGCTCTTTCCCTCTCAAAGAACATAAAAAGAAGCTGAGAGAAAATTTCTTTTGGCATTATGGAAATATTAGTCTTGGTGGTCTTCTTTCCATGTTCAGCATTTGTGATCTCTCTTGCCAACTTAGCTGAATATAAATGGATTTTTCATAGAAATACTGCTCAATAACAGTTAACATTCACCAACAACACTAAAGAGATTTGCTTTTGTACTCGACACAGAGACAAAGAAATTTAAAAATAAATGGATGTAGGCAGTCAGCACAATGGGAATACAGTAGCAAGGTTGATACATTATACTTTCAAACAAATAAACCTTTATACTCTAACCTTTACTGTGAACTTTCTAGACCAAGCGTGGTACATCTGACAGCCTGAAAGTGTATTTGCGACACGAATAAAAGTTCTCATAAGGAATCGCGACTATAGAAAACTATTAATGGTCTCCACATTTACTTTTATATTCGAACAGCTACCTTAATTTTTTTTTAGGAATATTTTAAACATTATTGATTTTCGTCAAATGAAATTCCCCTCGTGGGTAATGCGATGGGCGTAGCTGGCTTGTCCTACTTACTTCCCTGCAGTGAAGCTCCACAGAGATCGGGTCAGCAAACTGTGTCGTTGAGTGACCTGAATGACGTTTCTTTATTTCATTTCTAAAACTTTTTTGGACATTATTTGATCAAA